TCAGAAAGTTTAATTTAACCTTTGATAAATGGAAGAGTAGAAGAACCTGAGCTCACCTCTTGTCTCCCCGTCATTCAGAGCTCAACTTTATAATCGACAGCCCCGGTCGGCTTAGCAAACGTGACCCTTTAATTTCTTCTGTTCCCACAGTATACAAAAAGTTCTACATTCCCACACACTCCCCACTGCCAAAAGAAAGTCAATCATGCTTTCTGTTTTTGGAGATTACATCTCCGCCCCACAATATCTCTCAATAATGATATCATCGAGACTGATACTATCATCAGTAAATATTTTTAATACACAGCGAGAATGTGCTGGGGGGGCCTTGTGGGGGGAGATATAAATTCCTGTTTTTGACTTGAAAAAATAAAGGAAAAATTAAGCGCACAGATTATTAGGCTGTTTCTTCGGGGTTTAAAAGTATTTCGGCTTTGAATTGTTATGRCTTTAGAAATAACTTTCACCAAATGCTCAAAGCACTTTTTGGCTCAAATTTGTTTTAACATCCTAAAGATGAATATCAAAATCCTATCCAAACAAACTTAGTTTACACATCTCAACGGACTATAAAAAGATAGAATTTTGCAAGTCCTTTATATATTTTGTGAGATGGAGAGTTGGAGACTAATTATATTCATATCTTCTGGAAATCAGAACAAAAGGAAATCTACCTGTCGAAAAAAGCTGGAGATGCACTAGAATGGGATGATATTCAAAATATGAAATACTCATGGAATGTAGTATTAGAAGCAATGAGACTGACACCCCCTCTACAAGGAACATTCAGAGAGGCAATAACTGACTTCACCTATGCTGGATATACCATCCCAAAGGGTTGGAAGGTATGAAATTACCGACCCATTATCAACTTTCTATTTTTCAGTAATTAATCCAGAAGATCTATTCCATATATATTAACTTATTACTTACCCATTGTTGCTTTACAATTTTAATTTTAGGTGTATTGGACAGTTAGCAGTACAAACAAAAATCCAGAGTATTTCCCAGAACCAGAAAAATTCGACCCAACAAGATATGATGAAGGGACTGGATTTCCAATTCCTTACACTTTAGTTCCATTTGGCGGAGGACCTCGAATGTGTCCAGGAAAAGAGTATGCTCGATTAGCAGTACTCACCTTCATCCATAACGTGGTGAAAAGGTACAAATGGGAAGTGGTGTTTCCGGAGGAGAAGATAATAGGCGATATGATGCCTACCCCTGCAAAAGGACTTCCGATTCGTCTGCATCAACATTAGGAAAATTTTCTGTCCACAAAGTTTCCCCACTTCTTGTTCATTTCCCCTTTCTTCCTTTTATACAGTGAATCGTTGAAGCATAAGCAATGTAGATCATGGCAGCGGTGAAAACCTATATATCCCCCGGCTTTTTATTTCTTTCTTAATTTGTTCTATGATAATAAAGATACAAAATTTTAATGTTTTATCTGTATTATCTTATCATTAGTAAATGGATATCCATGTTTTACATTCTATGATTAATAAACTAGTGGTAGTGGTTTGTGCTATCTACG